AGCCCAGCTAGGGCATGACCTGTGGACCACAGATTCATCCCTAGATGATTCATCTGGCCTAGAAAACTGACTGCCATGTTGGAGACCAGGGACCTTCAGGCAAAATAATCAGCCCTGAGTCTTAGTGTCTTCACAGAGGAAAATGAGATTTTTACAGAGCTGTGTAGGGGGGAGCCTCAGGCAAAATCTTTACTCTCCACTTAGAGACTTCCATGAGGGTCGGTGCTTTTAGGACTCCACTTAGAGAAGATGCAGTTGTGGATCTGGGGAACTCAGTGTTACACCGAGCAGTGCTCTGTGCTACCACAAGAACTCTCAGGCGGGGAATGGCACAGGTCTTAATTCCTGCACTTAAAGGACCACTGGAAAGGAGAGAGTGGGCGGAAGGTGGACTATTAACCTCCTGGGCTAGCATGACGGCCACTGTAGCCGAAGGTAGAGCGATGATCACAGAGTGGCCAGCATCATGCTCCAGGCTTCTTTCCTCGAAGAACTGAGGTGGAATAGCTGTCCCCCAGGGCATGGTGGCTCAGACACCTTGCAACAGCCAGAAGCTGTGGGCTAAGGTTGCTGATGGATGGCTTGCTGCCAAACCCTGGATTGCATATATTTCTTTCTGTGGTCCCTGGGGAGCAGGTCACAGGGAGGAGAGCAGGGACGAGAGACAGAGAGAGGGGCACGGATTCTCATCTGGCTTCCCTGGTGAGGGTCAGCACTTCGGATGATGAAAATAGACCGTAGGCATTTTGGAAGTGTGGCGTCTTCGTGGGCCCTGAGCTTGGGTTTCAGCTGCATTACATCATCCGAGGATGGTGCGGGTCATAGACTGACTAGATGAGCAATAAGAATTACGATTTCAGTACTCGGTCTCTCATCTTCCTGCTCAGCCTCCAACGTGGCTCTGTTTACTTCTCTTCTTAAATGTTTACAGTATTGCTCCCCAAACACCACACCAGAATTGGTAATATTGCTAACAATGGTGAGAATATTGGCTCCCTAAGTGCCTACCATATGTTACTCCGTGTCTGATGTTTTATCCACTTTAATTTGGACCCTCACGACAACCTGGTGGGGTTCACCCTCTGCCCAGTTCACAGATGAAGAACACAGACGGTCTGTTGAACTAGCTGGACACCCTGGCTAGTGATCAACCAAATCCGAATGGGGGCTAATGACTTTCTCCTCTGAGTAACCGCACATGGCTTTCAAGGTCTCAACTTTATTTTCATACAGTCAGTCATGGAGAGGAGTGAACACTACTTCTCCTTTTTCATGGGACCCATAACGGTGTTAGCCTGTTTTCTGCAGTCTGCTCCTAAGAAGGCCAGAGGAAAGCTGCTTCTGAGGATCCTGACAAAGGCCTCTTTTGCCCTGTGAGGGACATTTAAGACCTGGTTGTTGTCAGCAGTTTCTCCTTCTACCTGGGTTTCTGGCTCCTTCATCCATGTCTTTCCATCATTTGCTTCCTCTTTGTGTTGTTCACGGCTAGCCCTCTCCTCTCGCCCTCCCACATATTCTTATGCCTGATGCTAATCGGGGCTATCTTTGTGCCAGGGGAAAGGACTCAGAGTTTGACCTGCTTTCCTCTGCCCTTATCTTATCCATCCCCCCATCTTCAAGTCTAATACAACCTCCTTGGAGACTTCCATGATAATCTGTCATGTCATCTCAAGCTGGCTAGCCTAGCACTTTCCGCCAATGTTTATAGCAGTTCTTTGTCTCAGGGACCGGTGTGTGTGTGTGTGTGTGTGTGTGTGTGTGTGTGTGCAGTGTTTTCTCATTATATTGCCCTTGAGGTTTTGGACCCAAGGACAGTGCCTTTTGTCATTGCTCTGCCCCATATATAACAGTGTCCTAGTGACTATTATAGTGACTACATGCCTTTAATTCCAGCACCTGGGAGGTAGAGATAGGTCAATCTCTGTGCATTTAAGGACAACCAGTTCTGGGTCAACCAGGGCTGCATAGTGAGATGTTGGGAGATTTGATTTTCAATTTTTTTTTGTATTTTGCCCAGTTGTGCATCTGGCTCTGTACTGATAAAGCTATATACTTGGTTCTCCTAGAATAGACACTGGGGACAGTAAAGTCATCTGACCAGATTTTCATACATGGTCTGCTCCTCTGCTCTGGGTCTCCTGGGGATGGAACCATCTCTGGTGAATGCTGAAGAACATTTAGGTCACTCAAGTCCCTGGTGATGGCTTTGTGCTGTGCCTTTGAAGTGTGCTGCTGGCTGAGTAGCAAAGATGAAACATTTTTTGCAGAGAAAGTAGAGGAAATTAGACCCCCCCCATCCTACTATGCTTGTCTTTTACCCAGAATTCCCAAGGACCTTACGGCATTCCACGATGAGCAAGTTCCATGGGAGGTCCTCACCCTGGGACTCTGATTGGTGAGGGCTGATGGCTTGGTTGATGTCTCAGCTGCTCGAGGAGACCTGGGCCTGTTAGTATGACTGGCTGGGCTAGGAAGGGACGCGCGTTCCGCCATCCTCTCTCTTTCCATCTTTCATGTTCTGAAGAGCAGGGAAGCTGAGGGCTTTTCAGATAAGTCAGAGGAGGGGAGCAGATGGCAACTTTCCTTCTTGAGAATTCCAGTCTTGGAGGCACAAACAGGATCTTCTCCTTGTCTAAACCGACCTGCACAGAAAGAATCCTCTGCCCAAGCCAGACTGGCGCTTGTCCACGAATTGCCACCCACTAGCACACCATGCAGTCAGGCATTTCACTCATGTCCCGGACCCACAAGGGTCCTTATCCCTGCTCCGTTGGACACGGCCTTGCTCAAATCAATGTTCTTACATAAGACGATAGGAAAAGCCAGGATATCTTCTCTTCTTTAGGATTTTTTGTAGTACACACATTTTCTATTCTGCCTTTAAAGATATTTCTGCCGCACAGCTGCTTCACTGAGGCAGACGCCCACAAGCTCAGCTCGGTCCAGCGTGTACCTGAATATCCCTTCATGGGGTTTGGTGTCTGCGGTCGGTCCTAGGATGGAGGAGGAGTGTGCAGGGAGCTTGGAGATTCTTATTAAGCAGGTCACCCAGGAATCTATCTTCATGCACCTCTATATTAAAAATAGCAGAGAACATGATAATACTTAAGCATAACCACTTATAGGAACTTGGCTTAAAGATGTAAGTTTTCGCTTCCCATTTGACATTTCTAATGTTCTGTTGCAATTTTTTTTCCATACTCAAAAGTCCTCTCCTCCATTTTCGTTCTGGGATGTGAGCAGAGATGGCAGCAATGCTGTATTGTTGGGCAGGGTCTGCCTTGGTCCCCATCGGATCATTTCTGGTGACTTTGGTGTCCCTGGCACTGCTCTTGAAGATGGACCATGCTCAGACACAATGTTGTGGGAGAAGGGCAGAACTCAAACATAGACAAAAAGATTTTTCTTCAGAACTTCAAGTGTGGCTATCATGTGAAAAAGGAGAATTCTATGTTGGACCTGCGGCAAAATTAATGAATGAACACTACAACAGGATAGATTTTTATCCCAAGAGAAATAGAGTAAATCTTTCCCCTTCCCTGGGACAGATTGCATTGTGTAGGGTGGGGAGTAAGCCTCATGGCAAGTGGTGGACTTCGCACCAAATAACCATTTGCTTGGAAGAGCATTTCCAGAAATAACAGGTCCACATCAGCTGTAAGACTCTGTGGTCTATGATGTCTGGAATAATTATTGGCTGTTCCAAGTATTTGAAAAATATGATGAGAGTTTTGTATTCAGCACTTTTAATTTGCTGATTTCTCTGATTCATTACAGTTTTTGACAAGTAAAATCTACTATAATCTCGTCATTTATGAGATAAACTGAGACACAGGGAGATGAGCGATTCACCCAAACCATGGCAGCATTAGCTCCAAGGTGCAGCTGATGTGTTCAGGAAGGGGAATCATCATTCCGGCCACGCCCCTGAACAGTCGGGCTGTTTTGGTCAGTCTAGTAGGTGAGATGAGGCTGTTAGAGTGGGAGGGATCCATTGTGCTCACTGTGGGCCTGCTGGAGCAGGCTCTCCTGCCTCTCTGTCTGACGCAGTCTGGTACAAGCTTCTGTTACCTAGTAGAGAGGAAGGGCGAGGAAGCGGAGTTTGTGTTTACTTATAGGTAACAGGACCCCGATCAGCTAGAGCACTTTCCCAGGCTCGAGAACTCGGACTGCATTCCGATAGCAGGTTGGAACTACAGGACGTATTTATTTATCATTTATTCAGTTGTGGTGTGGGGTGGTAAAGATGATTTAATAGACTCTGAAGTCCCTGAATATAAATGGCAGCACGCAGGGCAAGGTCTCCTTGGGTTCCAAGCTGTGAAGCTAGAAAGAAGTTTGTCTTCCGATTATTTTTTTAAAGTGTAGCCATTAAACTTAAATTGCATTTTATGCTGCATATACGACTCCTGTGGTAACTTGTTCCTTGATTAAAAAAATACGTTCATTATAGAAACATTTCAAAACAAAATGATTATAAAACAGCAACCTATCATTTCTGAAAGTGCACTTTACGTATTTAAAAGCAAGTTCCATGCACTATTGTGCATTCACGCCTGTGAACTTCAGAATTCGGACTTGTAACCCTGATCTTAGTTCTAGTGTGAGGCTGTATCAGAATGTCTTTGATCTATTTCCTATTGCTGCAGGAATTGGGTCCTTTGCATTTCTCTGTGAATATACATCACGTGTGTAATTGGTTTGCCAAATTAATCCCCAGAAAAACAATAACTACAAATCTGAGTTGTTTAAGCAGAAAAAAGAAACTAGAGATGGATTACTATCGTATAAAGCTCTAGCACCCCTGTTGGAGTTTTTATAGGCAAATGATCAACTATTCATTACAGTGGGTAGTTGGTATGGTAACACCGGGGTTTGGGGAGACCCACCCCATTGCTACCATCAGCACACCCGCTGGTTTTGAAATGCTTAGTGTTCTGCATCATCATCGGAGTAACAGACTCCCCCCTCCCCTTTTTCTCCTGTTGATTTTTCTTCAGCCTGATGAAGTCCTCCGATATCGATCAGGATTTGTTCACAGACAGTTACTGCAAGGTGTGCAGTGCACAGCTGATATCCGAATCCCAGCGGGTGGCCCATTATGAGGTAAGCGTAGCCCTGCTCACTCAGCTGGTGTGGCTTTTGGGACTTGAAGATACTCATTTTTGGAGTTGGGGAGTCTCCAGAACTGCAAGTCGTAAGCCTGTGTTGTGTGAGTTTACCCCAAAGCCCTGGCTACTCCCCACATTTTATTTAATTTTGTTTATTAATATTGTAACATGCGTCTCAGCCCTTAGAGACTCACTGGGCTTCCTTCCTTTGCTCGTTCTCTGTGAGGAATGCATGTCAAACATATTCGTTCCATTGCCTCCTTCTGCCTATGATATGAAGACAGGTTCAAAGACCCTGACTAGTCACACAGAAAACATGGTCTCAGGGAGTAAAAGACACATCCTCCACAAAGAACCTTTCCTGTTGGTCAGTGCCCTAAGTGGTCATCAGAATGTAGGAGTCTCCTGCCATTACAATGAAGTTTTAAATGTTCATCAGAATGTAGGAGTCCCCTGCCATCGCAACAAAGTTTAAGGCCCCGATACTCTGGAAGGGCACGGTGATCTTTTCCATGGAAAGACTGGTAGATGCTCTTTAACCCTGCACTGGGAGCAGAGAATGAGAAAAAGAAGGGTTGTCTTTTATCCCAGGGAGGATGAGGTGCCAGGAGTGGAGGGTAGGGAGTTGGGGATCCCGAGACCCTGAGTGCTGCATTGCATTTGTGTCTGGTTCCCGAAGAACAGAGAGCCATGGGAGTAGGGGTTTTCAGGTGTAATGACTGGTAAGGAAGCTTGGATTCCAGGCCCTAGCCAGCAACTTTTGTTGTTCATCTGATGAGTCTAATAAATGCCAGCTGTCACTCTCACTTGCTGAAGTCCCCTGGGTCCCAGGTTTCTTCGTGCACCACGGAAATAATAACGGCAGCACATCCATACACACCCAGAAATACCACACACCAACCCCGCCTTTCCCACCAGGTTCTGTGTTGGTGGAAATACTTTGGAAGCTAAGTGTGTCAAGCGTGTGAAATTCTTTTACTGCTGTTATCTCCTGTGCTGCGAGGCTTTGATGATGGCAAACAACCGTGCTCTCTGAAGCATCCGTGAAATCAGCATTTGCAGGGAAAAGGCAGTGCAGTTTCCGACCCCGGCCATTCCATGGGGGATGGGTTCCAGAAAGCCCAGTGGCTACTCAACTCCTCTGCGTGAAATGGTGTGATGTTTACAGAGAACCTATGCCCGTCCTCCGGTGTCTTTAAAATAACCTCTTGATCACCTATGACACTCACACTGTGCCCATACCTCACCCTATTTGAGCAGACGCAGCCTAGTATTAGCTCATGGCAAGTTTCAAGTTTGCTTTTGGTAACTCTCGGCAGCGCCCTCCCAGACCCTCCCATGCTTCTGATTTATGTAGAAATCATGGACCTGGAGGCTGACATGCTATTCTTTCAAGAGGGAAGCGAATGCTGGGAGCAACTTCAAGTGAACTTGTTTGCGAGTAACAAATCTATTGTTGTGGGAATGATAAACCCTCTCATTTCTGGGGATACTGTTTGTGGGCACGTATGTGGCTATAAAATACCAGGGGAATGTTTCCTGCTCTGAAATTACACACTCTCTACATTAGGCCTTTTGTTTTGATTTTTAATCAATGTTCTCAGGATTCGAGAATAGAAAAGGTTTTGTTTATTTGAGTCCTAATTTTGTACATTGTAGGTATTCTTAGCACTTCTGAGGGGGGTAGGTCTCTGACTTAAACATGTTGGTGATACTGACCTGTGCTGTTAGCTGAACCAGAAGGCTAATATTTTAAACGACGACACTTTTAAACAACAGATCCACACTTCAGCTGCTCAGCTAACAGTGCACTTGTTTTGGTCTCAGCATCTCTTATTGATGCACTGGAATCTTGCTGTGGTGTAATCTGTGGTTGATGGTATGTGTTAATTGAATGTAGCATACGTGAGTTAGGAAAGGTAAAGCAATCAATAGATCTTCTACGAGCAGGGTCACGCATCATCTAGCAACACTAAGTGCCTCCCACCAAACGCGTGTGGGGCTGGGAGATGCCTTTTGGTTGTCTACCCCTCACCTTCCTTCTATCAGAGATAGCCTGTGTATTCCCGCTGCAGAGATGCTGAGGCCGTGAAGCGACAGAGGCGGGGCCTAGGGTCCCTTATGTGGATCGTTTGAACTCTGTTTCTTGTCTTGCTGTCTCTGTTTGGGATGCCTATTCTGGAGCGTGCCTCAGATCCTCTGAGACTATTTGAAAACTGGTATTCTATCGGTCTGCCCTCGGGCTCCACCCACAACCTCGGCTGACATCCCCTGTAGAATGGGTTGCACCATGAGCTAGCCATTTCATTCAACTCATTGAAAATGCTGTGCCCATGACTCCCAGGGCTTGGTTTCAGTCTTGCTTGCTTCTTCAGTTCCAGCTGCTAATAGCCGCTGCTTCCCTGTGGGGGCACCAGTGAGCATCCACTGTGTATTCGCACATGACTAGCATTGCGGGCCTCACATATTGGAGGAGATTAGGAACTGGTGTGAGAAATGGTCTCTGTGCCCAAGAAGCTCAGGAACTCCATGGAGAGGAAAGGGCACAGAGTCCCACGTGATTCAGGATCCCACAGATCTGTGAGTTCCCCACTCTCTCCCCAGAGCTACAGGTCGGTTCTGCAAAGACAGTGCTTGTCCTGTCACCGGTTTGGCTCAATCATACTCCTAAGGGTTTCCATGTCTTTGAAGATCTACACTCAACATGAAGACCAATTGTGGTCAAAAACTTGTTGGAGCATGTTATGATTTACCCAGACTTCAAGCATGGATCAGTTTTAGAAAGTAATCAATGATACTTGTCTCCAAAGAATGTTGAAGAGGCTGGTCTGGCTGGCTGGAGGAAGCAGACTTGGCAGGGCACCGGGGGCGGCACATAAAGGGAAGGCATGATTAGTGGTGTGTGCCTGTGCATGCGGGCATGCATGTGTGTGCACATGTGTGTGTGTGTGCTCATACATATGTATGTTCACATGTGTGTGTGTGTGTGTGTGTGTGTGTGTGTGTGTGTGAATAGAACTTTGGATTCACCAGGTTCTTAAGCATCTGATACCATAGACTGCAATTGAGCATCTCTAGATGGTCATGAGGTGTTGGTGGAAACAAGAAAACCTTTTGATATGATTTGTGCCTTGAAACTAGTATGTTAGCATCTGAAGTAGAAGAAAAGCAAATGAACAAATAGGCTTATTGCTAATATCTGCATGCCTACTTAATAGAAGGGGGAGAAGAGCCTCGTAGGGTTTTAATTGACAGGACTATTCTGGGCTATCCTTGAACATTTTTCTCTTTGCATATGAAGCCCTGATATAAAAGCCAAACAAGGAAGTGGAGGGGCATGCAGATATTTTCCTACTTGCTAAGCAGCGGAAAATATAATTAGTTGTTGTCTCTGCCCACGGGTGAGTAGTCAGAACCAACACACCGAGTGCACGCAGAAGAGAACACTTCAGAATGAGCTGCCTACTGTTATAAAGATCAGAAATAGTTTCTTGGGTGAGGGACTCTGAAATGATGTGCTGTAGTTTCAAGATCCCAAAGGATAATTTCCTACAAAGGGTAGGGTTGCATGCATGGGTGATGGGTGGCTCTCTGGTACGAGAAGGATGGAAAATTGTCCGCAGTAGCTGATAAAAATTGAAACCCAAAGCACAGAAAAGCTTGCCTTCTCTTTCTGCATACATACACTACATGTAGTATATATAATACTCAGTATTTCTATATATAATATTAGAATTATTATACTAATATACAATATGTATTTATTTATATTTTAGTAAATCCAAGGGAAGAAATAGTTCACATCTAGAAAGAAAGGAAGAAGAATTATTGGGCAGGTTTCATATAGCCAGTAGTAAACGTCAGCCCAAGCTTCTCTCTGTGAACCCCTGGGTGCTGCTGTGCGACAGGTCTCAGAAATCACTCTTTGCAAAAATCAGTGGCTGTGTGATGGTTAATCTTGACCGCCAGTTTGACTAGATTTATCGTGGAAGCATACTTCTTGGTGTATCTGTGAGGGTGTTTTCAGAAAGATTTAACTAAGGAAGGTTCATCTGAATGTGAGTGTAGCCCATGATTCTGGACTGAATAAAAAGAAAAAAGCAATCAAGCTGGGACATCAATGGCTCTCTGTTTTCTAACTGGGGATGCAGTGTGACCAATGTCTCTCCACCTCTGTGCCATCCCATCTATGACAGACTGTATTCCTTACACTGGGAACTAAAATAAATGCATTCATCTCCTCTCCTCAAGAATAGCCTCAAATTCTTTCAGATCGGTGGCCAGGGCTCTAAGAGTGGACAGAATCACCAGAGGATATGCAATTCTTACTTGACTGACCTGTGAGAAAAACAGATGTTAACAGCACCCACTTCACTCTAGGGTAGCTGTGACAGTAACATTTCCCATCCCGAAAGCAAAGGGCTGGAGACAAAGGACCGTCAGTAGCGTAAAGCCATTAGAAAGCCAGTTACAGCTTTCTCCCTCTTAGGAGAGTAAGAAAAATCCCTGGGATAGCACGTGACCTCCTCAGGAGGGACTTCCTTCTTTGTGGTGGCACTCACCTACCTGTTGAACATCTTCCTGGACCTGTCTGAGGAGAATTTCAGGTTCTGACCTCCCTCTGCTTCCTTCCCAAGGGTGACCGCAGGCTCGCACAGTGTTCTAAGACTTTTTAAATCAGAATCATAATTTCCTTAGTAACGCGAATCTCTCAGCACTATGGCAGACTTTTGTTATACCAGCTTTCAGAGAACTCTGTTGCCGAGCCATGGAGTTCTCTTGTAGACCCAACCTCAAGGTTGCGCCTTTTACTTTTCTTCACCCTGTTTCCCCTTTGAGTTCAGTTGTGAAAATCTTGATTTTATCTAAAAGACAGTAGGTGAAAAGGCCACATCCTTAATCTCATTTCTGCCAAAAGCCTGGATCACAAGGCTGGGAAATCTTACTGGGTCTGCAACAAAGTTTTCTTCCCCTCCTCCTCCTCACTTCTCTGTC